CCCCCAACTCACACCAACCCAACTCTAACCACCACCAAATTTTAAGTAGTCCACCCAACAAATTCATAACGTTCCGCCCCCCTGTGTGACCCCGGCAGACTCGTACATCAAAGAGGTCATCCGCTACAGCAGCGGCACCTTCAACCTCCGGGTCACCACTGAGGACACCAACTTCACCACGGCCAGCGGCCAGACTTATTTCATCCGCAAGGGTGACGTCATCACAGCCTTCCCGCCACTCTATCACCACGAGCCAGAGATCTTCGAGGACGCTTACGTAAGAAACGAACTGTGTTGTAATATAAAATATCTCTCTCTCTCTCTCTCTCTCTCTCTCTATCTCCCAGTCTCCAAGTCTGGGTTGGCCCTGACTCCCTGTTGAATAAGCCAAGTCATGTCGATGGGGGGAGTTAAAAAAGACAGCTAGGTTGTAAAATATCTTTCACAGCTTTAGATAGATTGATAGTAGTATTCAAGTCTTTAACAATCTTTTTGTCACAGCGAGGAAATCCGTTCTGAAAGAGCTTGAGGATGCTGTGGAGACCAAGAGAGTGGAAGGTCATGACGGAGGGAGCGTGGCGGAGTTCACTGTGGAAGACATCAACAAACTGTCTTATCTTGGTGAGTTGTATACTTATCACCTCCGTATGTCTGTATGTCTGTCTGTCTGTCTTTGTCTGCGTGTCTGTCTGTCTGTCTGTCTGTCTGTTTGTCTTTTTGTCTCACTGTTCTGTCAGTCAGTCTGTCTGTCTATCTGTCTGTCTGTCTGCCAGCCTCCTTCACTGTCTGTCTGTCCCCCCTCTCTCTCTCGTTCTCCTTCTCCCTCTCCCCTCCCTCCATCTCTGTCTCTGTCTCTCTCTCTGTCTCTCTCTCTGCCTCTCTCTCTCTCTCTCTCTATCTATCTATCTATCTATCTATCTATCGCTCTCTCTCTCTCTCTCTCTCTCTCTCTTATTCTGACATCGCTTTCGACCTGTCATTTTCCCTTTACCTATTCTTTATATGTCCTTAAAGATGTCACTGGTTGGAAAGGTTAAATTTTTGTTTGCTAGTTGTTGTTGTTGGGGGTTTTTCTGTAGTTGGAGGGCAGGGGGGGACAGGAAAGGGGCCTGATTTATTCTCCTCCACAACAAGCAACCACTGATTCCTAATTAATTCAATTTCCTCCCCAGCGACAAATGATAGCTTTATGCATTTCCTTTCACCCTGAGCC